CGTGGCTGTGACTATGGGCAATAGGGAGAAGATCTGGAGTATTTTTAAGTTCTTCTATTTGATGAAAAGCCATTGCAGTGCATTAGTGGACCAGAATAACCCAGTTAAAATGATATGTGACTAACACAACTTTGGTAGTGATATTCTGAATAGATTTGCTGAGGGCAGTGTTGGTGGCTGCCCTCCGTTGAGGATCCGGCTACAATAATCGGGTAAGAAGTGGTCAGGGTCTTACTGAGGAAGTTGCTGTAGAAGGTGCAGAGGGCATGCAGAGAAAGTACACTGGGTGGCAGATTAACCAAAGGCATCTGGGAAGTACATCCATTTAATCAATGCATCAGCATGTTTGGAGCCAACTCAGTGCCCTTCTAGGGCTTGGAATTAAAAGAAGAAAACATCCGTTGTCCGTGCTGTCTCCAAGTCATCGTACAAATCGCCCTTTTCTTACAGATAGAGCTTTGGAATAGGAATATAGGGAAATTTAATTTTGTGGTTAAGGTGTTTATTTCCCATTTATCCTTTGACAGAATTGTCTCCTTTCCTAGATCATCTTGGTCCTCATCGACCTCCCAACTAATTTAGCTTTCTTATATTAAAAATTCTGTTCAGTTAATTGATTGGAAAAAGATAAAAGTGCTGCTTTAGAAAGTTCATTTTATTTTTGTTCTTTATAAAAATGCTTCCTGTTACAGTTTTTACAATGCTTCAGCGACATGGTGAAGAATAACTGGATTGCAGTAGCTTCCGCTCCTTTGCCCTTCTTCTCCCCCTCCACAACCTTGGGCACTAAGAGAGCATCATTGTTTAGTTAGCCTGCCTCTGTGATAATTCTCCTCCCTCTTCTTAAAAGCCTCAATGCTGAAGAACAATGCAGAGCATTCTTTTTGCAATAGACGTTAATTGTGTTCTTAGTGGGGATCTTGCTGTCATAGCCACAATAACTGTGTCATTGTGTGGGGAGGCTGGGTCACAGTGGTTATTGTGCAGAGGGATGAATGCTGTTTACTTACGATGCAGTGTCGCTGCATCTGTGGGTGAGAACACGCAGTTACTGTAATTTGCCTGGCGAGCAATCAGACTGGTATAAAATAACATCATCTGTCAAGCAAGTTAGCAGTCACAAAGAAGTGTTGGCATTTTTTTTTTTAAGTGCAGAATTTTTAATGAGAAACTTCAAAAAATAGAGATGGAAGATGTGAGAACGGCTACCTCGTGTGTGTTGCATATTAACCTCTGTTTTGCAGTATGTGTCAGGGGTCAGGTTGATCCATCTAAAAGTGAGAGAACAGGGAGTTCATGTCTGTGTTTGGGCTCAGACTGGGAAGAGCCACTTCACCACAGTCAATTACAGGTTGGCTTAAGTGACATACGTGACTGCTGTCAACTGGGAACCAGGCTTCAGGGCATGTTCCCTCCCTGAAACACACAGATTCTGAAAGCTTTCTCATTGTAAATGTCGTTTTCCAACCTAGTTCTTTCACTTACTTAAAGAAAAGATTTTTTTTATGTATTGTAGTTGTTGAAATGTGAGGGTATTTATCTTAAGGATTCTTGCTGAAGTAAAAGGAAACATCTGACTCTTTTCAGTAACCTTGGTGGTATTTTGCAAGGCTCTTGAGAATCCCAGTTTGGGAGCTATTTTCTTGACTCTTCCCCACCCCAGTGCCCATTTTTAAGCACTTTTCAGCTCATTAGCGTTGCTCATTAAGTGATCTGGGGAATGCATTTCTTTTGAAGCAGCCTTTTTCACTTGTTTCTTCAAGTTTTGTAAAATTTCCAGCAAGTATAAACCACGTTATTGCTTAAAGTGAATTTTTGTCTGATTTATATATATAGTATATATAAATATATTATTAAATATATAAGATAAATATATATATAATTTATATAAATTAAATATGTATAAATATATACTATTTATAGTATATATATATTTAAATCTATTCTCTGCTGTTCTGATAGTACATTTCTAAACAATTTCTTTTCAAAAGAGTAGATTTCGACTAGAACAGTAATTTGTATGCTGTGAAGGGAACAGTAAATGATGTGCGTTGGGACTTAGTTTTTATGATTTGGGGTCTTTTTTATGATCTCAAGAACTTACAGGTAATGTGGGGGGTGGCAATTTTGCAGGGGAGAAATACATGAACTGGGATATTGAGGTAATGTAAGAATTAGATTATCTGTCCATTGTAAGCACAATTTCTTTTCATTCCTTATTTTAATTCAGCGTCAAAATAGTATTAAAGTAGAATATATAATATGGAAAATGTATAATGAAAAAGTTGTACATGGATTTCAAAATATTTTGCATGAAAGTAAACTTGTACTTTAATTCCATTTTCCATGAACTCTTGATCTTGGTGTAACCCCATCTTTAAAGTTGCATGAATAATGTATGTTCAATGCATGAAAATTTGGAAACTTTTTTTGTTGTTGTTGAGGTTTTTGCTTGGTGGGGGAAGGGACACATACACAGACACAGTGAGTGGGAAAGTGAGAAATCACCCCCCTGCCCCCAGGGGGGATGGCCATGATTCATTTGGTACAGAAAGGACTAGCATTAATCCCTTCTCCATTCTCCTCCTGGGATCTTGGGCATACATGCACACGTGCCTGGTGTGATTTTCAAGCTACCGGCTCTGGGACTCGAACCTTGGTTGGCTATGTGGGAGTCCAGCAACATAACCACTATGCCATCTGATGGTCCTGAAAATTTGGCAATTATTAAAAAGGAAATGCACGTGATCACAAGAGTCTCTACATCTGCCATCTAAAATAGCTATCATGATGTGTCAGCACAGATCTCTTATTTTGTAGGCTGTTTTTTTCATAAACCTTGCTTTGGACTCAAAGGTCTTTAGAAACTAGTCATTTTGAGTTCTTTTCATAATCTAAGCACAAGTTTCCATAAAAGAGTTTTTGATTAAAATTTTCTGAAATTAAATGGGTTGGAAGTTAACCTTCAGGAAAAGTATGTGTGTGCGAATAGTTCATCTAAAGACCATCCATGATTTCTAAAAATTAGAGTTTTCTTTGAGTTTTTCTTTTGATGCCAACCTTTCATATTTATCACAAAGCACTTAAGTTTTTTGTTTTTTTTTTTGGAGAGAACATTTCAGATGTAGAAATTCACAATTCACAATAAGTCTCAATTTTATACAAGCATATTGGCTTTCATCAAAATGAGACCAGTGTACTTTTTCTCAATGGATTTATAAATAATATCCTAATTCCCAAATGGTTGATTTTTGCATTCTTTTCCCCATAGATAAGTAGAAGTCATTTAAAATCTTATGAAAAGTTGCCTTTTCTTTTTCCTTTTTTTTTTTTTTTTTTTTTTACCAAAAAACTCTTCCCTTTCTCCTTCTGACAAATCAACATCTGCTTCCATATAGCTAACTGCTGCCTTTTTTCTGCTTCTGTGACAGCTAGCCGATGGGGGGGGCTCTTCTCTTCTCCCCCCTGGACTGCTAGCCGATGGCGGAGTCTCTTCTCTTCACCTGCCTCACTGGCTTTTCCTTATAGTCCTGTTGCAAGACTCAGCCCTTATAGCAATGGCATTAATACTCCCAGCTTCTCTAAAACCTCAAATAAAGCAATACTAACACCTGAAAGAACAGGTAATATTTCAACTTTTTGACTAGCTGCTTGCTTTGTAATTCAGTGACTCTACACAACTTAAATGTCTGTCGTTCATTGAAAGGCTTGAAGGTAATCTTATAATGGAGAATTTGTGCTGCCCATTTTGGTACAGAAAGAACTCGCATTAATTCATACTCCAGTGCTGTTGATCTCCTGTTTCTGGGTGTGTGTGGTTAATTGTCTTCCCTCCTTAACAACAGTGTATGTATGTACTTAGATGTTGTGTTTTTGACGCTAAGTGTCCAGCACAATATTATGCTCAAGATGGTAAACCTTTATATCTTGTGTGTTTTTTGTTTTGTTTTGTTTTTTATTTCTAAGTAAGCCAGGGCAATGGAGAAAAAGTAGACACTTAGTGGCTTTTTTTTGAGATGAGGGTCTAACGATTCCTTATTTGTCTCAGTATTAAATGTGAATATGATTCCACTCCATGTGGGTCCGTCCTTCCCTTTTACCTCAAGTCATTGCGTTTTTACCTTAGTGGGTGGCTTCAGGTCTCCAGTGACAACTCATTGGCCTAAATTATGAAGACTTTGTGTTTCTGTGTACGAGCATGTGCCTTTTTAATGTGTGACACTTTTGTCCTGTTTGTGCCCATTAAAGAATGGGCCGGATTAAATTTTGACTTTAAAATACATGATCGGTTACTACCAGGGTCAGATGATCAATGAATGTCTGACTGTTGATCAATGTCTAATTGTTAATGAATATGTGTTCATATACCAGGTATATCCTTATCTTTTAGGTATATCTTTATCTTTCAGGTATATCTTTATCTAATGTGATGCTGATTTTAGCATTTGTGACAAAACATACATAAGGTGAAATCTACTCTCAAGAAAATTTTAAGTATATATAGTACAGACCGATTCCCATCCCCCTTTGTTTTTTTTTTTTGTTTTTTTTTTTGCTATGGGGCTTGTGCATTTGCCAGAGCCAGACAGACAGGGGCGGGGAGTGAGAAACCACTGCTGGGTTGAGGGGAGGGGATGGTTCTGCCACAGTCCCTTCTCCAGTCTTCTCTCAGGATTTTGGGCTTGAAAGTACATGTCCTTGGTGTGATTTTCAAGCTTCTGGCTGTAGGACTCAAACTGGACCCAGCCCTGTATGATCTACCTTAACCTCCATGCCACCTGCTGGCCCTAGACTGATTTTTTGTTTTTTGTAAGTATGAAAATTTAATCTGGAAAAAAGTAAACAGTTTGATATGTGTGAATTGTGCTTTTTATCCAACTGTCAAGTGGTGACATGTTGGTTGTTTTTGTGACACCATCAAAATAGAGAAAAAACTGTTGTTTACATATGAACTGTAAAGCATGTAGGATAACCAATAACATGTTTCCTTTGTGTTGTAGGTTTCACATCCAGGGGCTCCCCTCTCAGTCCCCAGTCATCAATTGACAGTGAGCTGAGTACTTCAGAACTGGAAGATGACTCCATCTCCATGGGATATAAGCTACAGGACCTCACTGATGTTCAGATCATGGCTCGTCTGCAAGAAGAAAGTATGTTCTTCTTAAAGTAGAAAAGTGCAGTTTCCACGTGAAGTGTTGGGTTGGGAGGAGGTTCAGGCATTTCTTCCCAGGTAATGGGTAAAAAGTTATCGACTCTTGGGGCTGGCAGGTGGTGTGATGGTTGAGCTACTAGACTCCCAGCGAATGGTTCAAGTCCTGGATCTGGCGCCTGGTGGCTTGCTTTCTTTTCTTCTTTTCTTCTGTCTCTCTCTGGTATGTGCATGTGCCCATAGCAAATTAAATAATAGTAATAAATAAATAATTTTTTCAACTAGACTATCATACTGCTCTGTTTTTAGGTGGAGCAGCTACATACTTCTCATACTCATGTGAACATGATAAAGTGTTAGTAAATACTCTGATCAAAATACATTGATAAATCTAGCACATGGCTTGGTGGATCTCATAGGGCCTACTATGTAATTTGAATCCCAGACCCAGCGGCTTGAGAAACATACCAGGTGTGTGTGCATATGTGCCCAAAATCCTGAAAGGAGGGAGAGATGGAGGAGAAGGGACTATGACGTGACTCTGCCTTATTGGAGGGTGCTCCTCCCTGGCCTCTAGTCTCTGTGTGTCTGTCTCTCTCTCTGGCAAATATACAAGCCTTCTGGCTTAAAAATGAAACAAAAAAGAAAAAACACTGGTATATAAATATGCCTTATGTAGCCATTATTTTTTAAAAAGATTAAAATTAAACATGCAACTTCATTTGACTCAGCTAACTGCACTCTTAGACATTTATCACAGAGGAGTGGAAATTTGTGTTTACATAAAAACCTGCACCTAGGGACCAGCAGTTAGTGTGATGGCTGTGTCGCTGGACTCCTATGTAGTCAACCGCGGTTCAAGTCCTGGACCCAGTGACTTAAACTCACGCCGGTATGTGTGCGTGCATGCCCAAGATCCTGAGAGGAGAATGGAGGAGAAAGGATTGCAGTGTGGTCATCCCCCCTGGGGGAGTGATTTCTTACTTTATGTCTCTCTGGTGAGCACATGCATCCTATAGCAAAAATAAATAAATAAATAAACAAAACAAAACAAAAAAAACCTCTCCAAAAGAAAAGAAAAGAAAAGAAAAAAACCTGCACGTAAATGTTTTTAGCAGTTTATTTGTAATAGCCAAAAACTCAAGTTTACTTAGATGTCCTCTTTTAATCACATTGGCACATCCATACCATGGAGTACTACACAGACAGAAGAATGGAACAGATAGTGAAAATAATCTGTGATATTCACTTGGCTATTCTGGTTCTGGTTTTAAAGGGGTAGCAGCTGTGAGCTATATATTTTTCAGTACTGGTGTGTCACTTACAAAGTAATTTTGTACCATGAATACAATTTAAAGTATCTGTAAGAACCATCAAAAAATGATGTAATAGGTAATTCCATTTACTTTACACTTTGAAATGATATAATTTTAGAAATGGGCCATGTATTTATGGTTGTGGGGCGCTAGGGATAGAGATGGTTGTGGTGACAAAAGGGCAACTGAAGGGATTTTTGAGGTGGTGTTTATTATTTTGACCATGGTTGTGAATGTGTGAACCTGTAGGTAATAAAACTGCATAGAACTTAATACTGACGCATGTGTGAGTAGAACTGGGAAAGTCTGAATAAGAAGGGTGGATTATATCATTGCTAATGCTATAGAAATCATGTAATTTTTGCAAAACACAAAGCACAATTTGTGTTAAACACAATGATTTGTTGTTCTCAGAATTTGTCAAGGCTTATTGTAAGATATATGATAATGCCGGTGTAGGATTTAATAAGTTACATGTTAAGGGGAAAAATGATTATATTATTACTTAATAATATTAAATTTAAATATTCTTTCTAAAATATATATAGCTAAAACCTGAGGTCAGTTCCAGAAGTAGTCAGGTATAGACTACTTTTAAATTGTGGTATTGGCAATGAGTTAAATAATGAGAAGCTTGGGTCAGTCAAGTGGCTTGGTGGTTGAGGCAGTTGGATCCCACATGGGTGACTGCTCAGATCGGGTCCTGGGCCTGGCAGCTTGAAAAACACCCCTGTCTCATGTGCCTGCATGCCCAAATCTCAAGAGGTGAATGGGGGAGAAGGCATTGTGCCATAGTCATTCCTGCCATGGGGGTGTTTTCTCAGTTTCCCTCTGCCTCTCTCTCTGGTGAGTGCACAAATCCTATAGCAAATTAAAAAATTAAAATAAGAGAGAGAAATAATGATAAGCTTGCAGTTTGGCTCTTTTTAGATGGTTACTATTTAGGATGACCTGAAACTATTAAAGTGTCAGTATGCTTCGAAAGAAATAATATTAGTAACATAGAACAAAAAAGAAATGGCCTGATTGGGAAATAATTGTATCTCAAGCTTCAAACCTGAATTGTGAAAGTTTGGAGTGGGGAGTAGACTGACTTTCTACTTGGACAGAGATGTGATTATTTTAATTGTTCTAACTCAAAGAAACTATTACTAATGACATAGATTTCTAAGTTCTCCCAAATATCTATAAATTTGGAAAGGGATCATTTGGGGAAACAATAGATGTTGCTTGATGAGCATAGCAGGTATATTTAACCTTCACTGGAACCAGGGCAATCTTTTTCAAAACAGAATTGCAAATATGTTTGTTTTCTTTTTCTTTTCTTCTTTTCCTTTATTTTTTCTCTTTCCTCCTTTTCTTTCTTTTTTCTTTTCCTTTTCTTCTTCCTTTCTTTTTTTTTTTTTTTTTTGCCTTTTTTTCATTTTTGCCATAGGGTCCATGTATATACTCATTGGAATGAGACAGAGAGAGGGAAAGTGAGAAATCATTCCCCCCTACCCCCTGCCCCAGGGAGATGGCCATGCCAGTCCCATCTCCTCCATTCTCCTCTCAGTATTGTGGCACTCATGTACCCTCGCCTGGTATGATTTTTAAGCTACTGAGTCTAGGACTTGAACCATGGTCAGCCATATGCAAGTCCAGTGCCTTAATATCCACGCCACCTACTGGCCCATTTTTCTTAGGATCTGCTAAATTAAGAACAAGGTAAGCAGCTTCCATTAGAATAATTTGGCACAAATGTTTGTTCAATATTTGATTGTTTGTAACTTAAGGTTAGCTAGATCAAACTGTCTCATACGCTAATCCTGGTCGTTATTGTTCTATAGGCCTTAGGCAGGATTATGCCTCCACTTCAGCATCTGTGTCAAGACATAGTTCCAGTGTGTCACTGAATTCAGGAAAGAAAGGGACCTGTAGCGATCAGGAATACGATCGGTACAGCCTGGACGACGAGGAGGAATTTGATCATTTGCCACCACCTCAGCCTCGTCTTCCAAGATGTTCACCTTTCCAAAGAGGAATTCCCCATTCACAGACTTTCTCCAGCATTCGGGATTGCAGGAGGAGCCCCAGTTCCCAGTATTTCCCTTCAAACAATTACCAGCAGCAACAGTATTACTCGCCTCAAGCCCAGACTCCAGATCAGCAACCAAATAGGACCAATGGAGGTAGGTGGTATTCCCGTTTGTTCTTTCCACAAATTTGATCTTGTATATGTGATCGAGAAATGGCTTTCAGTTTCATACAAATAATTGGGAAGGGTTACCCTAATATCCTATCACTTTAGCCTAAGTTTACACCTGTAGTTGACCAGCTTCTGATTATGTTTCCTAGATAGAGAGCATCAGGGAAACTACTGAGTCGTAGCTGGCTCAGGCTGAGTTATACATAGGGAGCATCTTTATGTTGTTCCTAGTATAGTTGTGGGATGGGCCTGGTTATGCAAACTGAGTTCATGGTCAAGTCCCACGAAGTCAAAGGCTCCACACCGCCATGTTCTTCACCTGTCATGCATCATTCCATCTCTTACTGATTGTCCTGGCATGGAGTGTTGGTTAGCGTGCACAGTGATACTTAGAGAACATGCTGTTCTTGCACAACCAGGTTTAGGAGATGTCTGGGATGTGTCTTTCCCTCTGATTTCCTGACATCCAGAATTAACATCTGTATAGCAGTAGAATACTGAGGCTAGTATTTGCCATGGTAATGGGAAATTGATCTGTCCTGGTGTCAGTGTGGTTGGGGGGAGGATTTTTTCCTTTTTTTTTTTTTTTTTTTGGAGAGGTTTTTGCTGTAGGGCACGTGTGCTCACCAGACAGACAGAGAGACAGAAAGTGAGAAATCACCCCCCAGGGGGGATGGTCACGCTGCAATCCCTTCTCCTCTGTTCTCCTCTCGGGATCTTGGGCACACACGCACATGCGCCTGGCATGAGTTTAAGCCACCGGGTCCGGGACTCGAACCACGGTCGACTACGTGGGAGCCCAGAGACATAGTCATTACGCTAACTGCTGGTCCCTGTTTTTTTTTTTTCTCTTTCATGGGAGATAGAAAGGGAGAGAGAAACAGAGACAGGGTCTTCCCATGTCATGATCCTCCTTCCCCAGCTTCCCAATTTATTAGGATTATAGGCATATATAGCTGCACCTGTATTGTTCAGGTTGGCCCAGGAACCGAACCCAGGCCTTCCATGTGGCCTCCAGCCTCCCAAGCAGTGATGCTATCAGTGGGTTACTGTGGCTAGAACTGGAGTATTTTTTTCTGTCTCCTTCATTTTTTCTTCTCTTCTTCCTAGGAGTTAAACTCTTTCACTTATAAAAAAATATATAAGTGAAAGCAATCATGTAATATTATAAGTAGTAATGACCAACCAGGCCCTATCACACAAATCTCCCAAAATAGACCACTTAATGAGAATTCATATTTATATAGTTACAGCTGATAATTATTGTTATTCTTTTAAGAGAGATTTTTTGCTATAGGGCATTTTTGCTCACTTGAGAGAAAGAGACAGATAGACAGAAAGTGAGAAATCACCCCCAGGGGAGATGATGATGCTGCAGTCTGTTCTCCTTCATCCTCCTCTCGGGATCTTGGGCACGCACGCACACGCAGGCACACACATGTACTTGGCATGAGTTTTAAGCTGCTGGGTCCGGGACTCAAACCATAGTAGACCGCATGGGAGTCCAGCACAGCTGATAATTATTATATAGTATGGTTTCCCAAAGTTGGGCCCAGAAGTGACCAAATACTGTTAGGCTAAATATAGCTTTATTAGTGATGAACTCTTACCATGTTTTTAGCTTTTACTTTTTCTTCCTCCGTACTTGTGTCATTCGCTAACTGAGCCATCATTTAAAAATATTTAAAATTTTATATTTGCAATTTCTCTTTTTTAGTGCCTTCAGGTTTCAAGTTTCAAAGCAGCAACTAATTGTCATAATGACATTCTTTTGATTAAAACTCATAGTGTCAGAGAGACAATGTATCCATTGGTTTAATGGAAGTCACATTAAAACTGAGAGGGCACCTGGAGTTTTTTCTCTAAAGGTTTTTTCAGTCAGGTGTGTTAGCACATCCTGGTTGAGAGCTGTCACACAGATGCCAGCTCTACATCTTGATAGTATTGTCGATGGGATCATTTTCCTCTACTCCACTGTTTGTGGCACCTTAGAAAAGTGGTATTTGTTTTCATTAAACACCATTTTGAAAAGGATTAGGTTTCCCTGAAGACTGTGCTATGATATTCCTCATAGGAAAGCAGAGACACATCACAGTTTGGACTCTGGTAGTTTTATTTTTCCTAAAAGGTCTGGTTCCCACATGCAAAGGAAAAGTAGACTACAAAGGCAATTTTCCAGATTTGACTTCTGACTAATCAACTTAATGTCTGAAAGCACAGGCTCTGAAAACCAGAAGACTCAGTCTCTCTGTCCTGTCTTCCCACTATTCCTCTGTCCCTCTCTCTCTCTGGCCCTCCTTCCCTCCTTCCACTACTTCCTTCTCCTTTTCTTTCCCCACCAGAGAACTCATGTGTCTGTCAGAAAGAGACACACACACACACACACACACACACACACAGAAAGCACTCTCCCAGTGGGCATGGCCACACCACGGTCCTTTCTTCATTTCTTCATCCTGTTGGGATTCTGGATGTACATACACATACGTGTATGGGGACTTTTTTCCAGCCACCAGGGCCAGGATTCAAACCATACCGTTGGCCATGTGGAATCTGGCTCTCTTAACCACCAGGTCCTCACCTACCCCTGTCACTGAGAGATTTCTTAAGTCTCTGGCTTTAGTTTTCTTAACTATAAAATGTGGATAAGAGAAAATTCATCTTTTAGAAAACTCAGGTGTGATTTCACATCAGACCATGTGGTGCATACTTTCCCAATCTAAATAGGTCTTACGTGTTTATTAACACAGGATTCAGATATCTGAACTGTTTTTGTTGCCATAGGATTAGAATATTATTTGAATAAAATTGTAAAATAAGAATGGTAATTTTGAGGTGGGCTCCATAGCTTGGTGGCTAAGTGCTATGCAGAAGGAGCCATGTCCCCCATGACCTGTCAGGGAGACAGAAATGCCCAGGCCCTGGTGATTTGAAAAACAAGCTGGGCATGTGTGTGCTTTCCCATGAGCCTGATAGGATAGAGAATTGGAGGTAGAAGGATTGTGGCATGGCCAGACCCTGTGGTGGGTACTCCCTGTCCTTTCATGCGTGTGCTTGTACTCTGGCATAATACAGAAAAACATGAAGGGTAATTTTGAAATTAATCTACTAATTGTTTTGGAAAATGTCTGAAATACATAGATTGGAGGAAAAAAATGGTTAAATAATAATCCATTTTTAAGTACTTGAAAATAAACTAAAAACTGTATATTTATATTTTCCACTTCCTGGAAGGAAAAGTAGACTACAAAGGCAATTTTCCAGATTTGACTTCTGACTAATCAACTTAATGTCTGAAAGCACAGGCTCTGAAAACCAGAAGACTCAGTCTCTCTGTCCTGTCTTCCCACTATTCCTCTGTCCCTCTCTCTCTCTGGCCCTCCTTCCCTCCTTCCACTACTTCCTTCTCCTTTTCTTTCCCCACCAGAGAACTCATGTGTCTGTCAGAAAGAGACACACACACACACACACACACACACACAGAAAGCACTCTCCCAGTGGGCATGGCCACACCACGGTCCTTTCTTCATTTCTTCATCCTGTTGGGATTCTGGATGTACATACACATACGTGTATGGGGACTTTTTTCCAGCCACCAGGGCCAGGATTCAAACCATACCGTTGGCCATGTGGAATCTGGCTCTCTTAACCACCAGGTCCTCACCTACCCCTGTCACTGAGAGATTTCTTAAGTCTCTGGCTTTAGTTTTCTTAACTATAAAATGTGGATAAGAGAAAATTCATCTTTTAGAAAACTCAGGTGTGATTTCACATCAGACCATGTGGTGCATACTTTCCCAATCTAAATAGGTCTTACGTGTTTATTAACACAGGATTCAGATATCTGAACTGTTTTTGTTGCCATAGGATTAGAATATTATTTGAATAAAATTGTAAAATAAGAATGGTAATTTTGAGGTGGGCTCCATAGCTTGGTGGCTAAGTGCTATGCAGAAGGAGCCATGTCCCCCATGACCTGTCAGGGAGACAGAAATGCCCAGGCCCTGGTGATTTGAAAAACAAGCTGGGCATGTGTGTGCTTTCCCATGAGCCTGATAGGATAGAGAATTGGAGGTAGAAGGATTGTGGCATGGCCAGACCCTGTGGTGGGTACTCCCTGTCCTTTCATGCGTGTGCTTGTACTCTGGCATAATACAGAAAAACATGAAGGGTAATTTTGAAATTAATCTACTAATTGTTTTGGAAAATGTCTGAAATACATAGATTGGAGGAAAAAAATGGTTAAATAATAATCCATTTTTAAGTACTTGAAAATAAACTAAAAACTGTATATTTATATTTTCCACTTCCTGGACTATTTTGGGAAGTCCTGGAATTAAAAGGAGCATGTCTGCAAAAATTTTTCAAACATTAAACAAATACTAACTCTTGCAAACTCTTTACCAGCCTTCCTGTAACTTTTAGGGTGTGGCAGAGGTTATCTGTGGCATGATCATGTTAGCTGGGACCTCTCCTGGAACCTGACTGGCTGGAAGGACTGTTGAGCTAGCTGTGGTGGGGACCACATCTTTCCTTTGTCTTAAGGATTCCTGATTCTTTGTTCCGTCAACTGTGGGTCTTGCTGCCTGTTACCGATGAGTAAATTCATTTGTATTCTTCCTTGGTCTACTCCTCTAGTTTCTTACTATATCTCCGTCCTTGAAGATTAAATTACTGATTTATAGTAAAGATAGGAGAATGTTACTGTTGGTTCCTTGATCTTTAAAGTATGTATGGTTATTATATTCAAATTGTTTGATAGGGTAATGTGCCTCATTTCCAGATGGTCTGACACAACTTAGAGATCACAGCTTAGCTCTCAGAGGAACAGTGTCCTAAATATTTACACTTGGAAGATCTTATTTTCAAAAGCACATTTTGGATTAAAGCTTTGCAAAACTAACTTGGTACTTAAATGAGTGAAGATTGTTTTTTAAGACTGGTGCATCAAGATTAGACATCTACCAACCAAGTGTAATGCATGAACTTGGATTGGATCATGGTTAAGGGCAAAACTTATGAAAGACGTCGTTGAGATGTCTGGAAAATTTTGTGAATGAATTATAATATATTGTGAAATTGTTTATATCTGATGACAATATCGTGATTCTCTGTACTTTTCTCGTTCTTAGGAGATCTGTGCATTTAGGGTTAAAGTATCAAGCTGTCTGTGGCATTTACATTGTTTAGCAAAAGCAAACAAGTGTTTATATGGAGATGAATTAAGTATAGTAAAATGAAAACCTGTCAATCTAGGAAAAAAATAGGTGTTTATGATACTATTTTCAACATATATATACATATATATGTTTATATATGTATGTATGTATATATGTATATATATTTATATATATATAAACTTTTGTAGAAAATGGAGAGAAACTTAATAGAGATGCTCAAATGTTTTTCTATATAATAGCATGTAATTATATCTTTCTTACTCACTGCTGCTTAAAAAAAGAGTGAAAGTAGTTTAATTTTATACTTCTAGAGGTCACTTTTTCATACCAGTTTTTGTGGAATACAACGTAGGTTCTGATTTTATCTATGTTTATTCTTCACGTCTGTTACACACCCTTTGCAGCATATACACACATAAGATTTGTTGAACACACTGAATACCTGCTACACGGGGCTAGGAACTTCAACAGGAATTGGGAACTGAGATATGATTTATTAAAAATAGGGACTAGCAGGTGGCATGGTGGTTAAGCTTTGGACTCCTACATGGCCAACTGTGGTTTGAGTCCCAGACCTGGCAGCTTGCTTTCTCACTTTCCTTCTCCCTCTCTCTGTCGTGCTCTGGTGAATGCATGTGCCCTATAGCAAATTAAAGTAATAATAATTAATAATAATAAATAAAATTAATAATTCTTTTGAAAAATAGGCCTCAAAAAGATAATGAAGAAAATATTCAAGAAGTGTAAAAATTGGGGGACCAGCAGTTAGCATAATGGCTATGTCGCTGGACTCCCGTGTAGTTGACCGCGGTTCAAGTCCCAGACCCAGTAGCTTAAACTCATGCCGGGCGCGTGTGCGTGCGTGCCCAAGATCCTGAGAGGAGAATGGAGGAGAAGGGATTGCGGCATGGCCATCCCCCTGGGGGGCTGATTTCTCGCTTTCTGTCTTTGTCTCTCTCTGTCTGTCTGGCGAGCGCACATGCTCTATAGCCAAAAAAAAAAAAAAAAAGAAGTGTAAAAATCAGTGGCAGTACTTGAGCATTATTATTCTGGAAATTCACAGAGGGTAAGGAATTGTGAATTGTAGATACTTCAGCCAGGAGGTATATTGAAAAGCTTCTCTTAAAGAGGAGATAATTTTGCTATTTCTTAAATAGTAGTAAGCATTAGTGAGGAAGATAAAATACCCTTTCCTGGTCTTCTGGCATAGCACTGTCTAGAATTTCTTATATAAGAATACTTATTGGAACCAGCAGTTGGCATAATGGCTATGTCACTGGACTCTATGTCACTGGACTCCCACGTAGTCAACCGCGGTTTGAGTCCTGAACCCGGTGGTTTAAACTCATGCCAGGCGCGTGTGCATATGTGCCCAAGATCCCAGGAGGAGAATAGAGGAGAAGGTATTGCGGCGTGGCCATTCCCCCTGGGAGGTGATTTCTCGTTTTCTGTTTCTCTGTCTCTCACTTTCTGGTGAGCGCACAGGCCCTATAGCAAGAACCTCTCAAAAAAAAAAAAAAAAAAAAGAAAACAAAAACTTATTATACTGGTTTGATTTTAAGTCTTTTCCATAGACCACCCTAAGAGGGTGAAAATTACTGGCTACAATTAATAAGTAAAAGTAATGTAGGAGCAGCAACATGTGAAGGGTGAGACAGAAGAGATGAATTTGGGATTGTCCTTTGAATACACTTCTGGTTAGTATGATTTGTTTCTGACTGAGCTTGAAAGAAAATAATCACAAGCTTGACTGGCCTGATAGGTATACTTATAAAGATGAAGCCTGTTTTATAGAACTGGGGGATGAAAAACATTTATAGATATTACAGTGGTTTGTGATCCTCCAAAGTTCAAACTTGCTTTTCAGGTGTTATTCCTTATTACTTAGCTTCTTTCACTGGAGAGAAACTAGATTAAATTTATTACAGAGTTTTCTTTTCTCCTTAGTATTGGTAATGGAAGAAAAGATTGAGAAGCCCTGGTTTAGATTGTAAACTCAGTGAGAAATGGAGACCATACCTGTCTAACATGCTGCGATATTCTCAACATTTTATAGAGTGCCAGATTTAGTATGCCCACAATAAATATTAATAGTTCTTGTTCATTCTTTCCTTCCACAGAGTATGGGGAAGGGTGTCCAAGTGGAAGGATCAGCATAATCACAGGAATAAGAGGGTACTTGCCCAAAGTTGGGCAGCAGTCTGAGTGGTGGGGTGGATGGAAATAGGAGATAAGCCCCAAGATAGATAGACCGTGTACCTGTAGGTCTTGTTGATCCACCTCAGGAGCTTGGGGTTTCAGATGAAGAGGAGGAGAGGACTCGGAAGGATTTAGGCAAGGAGATGACCAGAGCACCAGTGTATTTGTGCTCTAGGGAGAATGGCACTGTCTGCACTGAAGATGGAGTGGAGGAGCAAGACAGAGAACATGGAACCCAAGTAAGAGAAGTTTGTGAAGTTGTGAGTGATAAGTAAGGAGGTCAGAACTTGGTGGTCGTGGAAGACCCACTGAACATTTATAAGGCAGAATTGATAAGACATGGAATCTAGGGTGAAGAGGAGGTGAATTTTGAGAGACTCCCCAGACTTCTGGATCAAATAACTTCCAGGATAGGACTGCAGTGAGTGGGTCTAAGTAACGGAGGACCACTTGATAAAGGGAAGAAAAGAAGTGAATTCAGCTTTGTCCTTGAACGGACTTTGGCCTATTGGTCAGGTATATCCTTTGTTTTCTGAGCTTCAGTGACCAGATGTATGTACCTTCATTTTTTGGGACAGTATGCATTAATAAAGAGAAAACTGTGTTGTTGAGTTAGTCTTGCAGCTGATTTAAAATCTCAGCAATAGGATCTGCGCTTGATTCTCTGCTGCCCCTTGGTGGCAGAAGATGTACTTAGCAAGGATAAAGAAAGAGCATTCCCTTAACCTTCTTCATTCACCAAACATTTGGTGGTATACTCATGACACTTAAAGCTTCCCAGAAATTAATGTGATCATGTCGATGTAATAAGTGGGTATCTCAAAACATCACAAGTTGGAATTTTGTTAATTTGTTCCATTTTGATATGTTACCAAAAGGTTCAGTAAGTATTGGTTTTAAATCTTGGATTTTGAAACATAAGCATACAACTTAATTTCTAGTATTTGGTGGCATGGATGTTAATCTGGCTAGATTCCACATAACTGACTGCATGATTCTAAGTCCCAGACCTAGTGGCTTGAAAAACACGCTGGGCACATGTGCGTGCATGCCCAAAATCCTGAGAGGAAAATAGAGGAGAAGGGATTGCGGCATGGCCGTTCTTCCTGGGGGATAATTTCTCAGTTTCTGTTTCTCTCTATCTCTCCAGGGAGCACAAGTGCCCTCTAACAAAACAAAAACTAAAACAAAATTGACTGCACAATTATTTGCTAGCCTTATTTGATAGTTTTTTTTCCCATTTATTTAATAGGAACAACTAACTTGTTGAATAGTCCTCATTTCTCTCCCTCTCTCTCTTTTTATTTTTTCTTAATAAAAAAAAATTGTTTTAACAACCCTGGTGCAACCCCTTCTGGTTTGGAGAGTATGTTTTCCTATTCTGGAGGTTAATTCACTGTTAGTTTGTTTATGGTGTCCATCATGTTTTTTACTTGTCATTGAGCAAAATATATTGATTTATTTATTTCTGCAAGCTAGTGTTTTAGTTGGCATGTAAACTTTTCTCTTTCAGATAAGCTCCGAAGAAGCATGCCCAACCTAGCCCGGATGCCAAGTACAACTGCCGTTAGTAGCAATGTTAATTCTCCAGTCACCGTGCGAAACAGTCAGAGTTTCGACTCAAGTTTGCATGGAGCCGGAAATGGAGTTTCAAGAATACAGTCTTGTAGTAAGGATAACATGTTTTACTTTTTTGTAATCTTAACTTGTAACAGCATTAGGAAAAATACCAGGTTTTTTTCGTGCTCTTTTACCTATAAGCATGCTAAAGGAAGCTTTCTTCTTGTTTTATTGACTTATTTTTTGTATATTACCGTTGCAATTGAGCAGTGTGTTCACTAGTATGTATATTGTCAATTAATAGTAATAAATTATATGTAGTACATTAAAGCTAAGGATAGTAGTAGAAATGCTAACTGGTGGTTAATTTATCCACTCATGCCAAAGTACAATTGACCTTTAAAAAGCCTGGGGCTACAGATACTGGAGACGGTGTGGGAAGAGGATGGGAGATGGGGGAGGATGAGAGGAAAAGGAACCACGGAGAAAGATAGACGTGGAAGACATTTAGGGGACACAGAAATGCAGGATTGTCTGTTGATAATAATGTATATGATATCTTCAGCTGGACTGGTGTGAAGTGTATCCATGTTGAATGAATAATGTTATAAGCTGTAGTGATGTACAATGAATGAATATATAAAATAAATTAGAATAATAAATAAATTAAAATAAAAGCCTGGGGATTAGGGACACTGCACAGTTGAAAATCTACACGTAGCTTTTGATTTCCCCAAAACTTATTCACTAACAGCCTGCTATTGACCAGAAGCCTTACTAGTAACATAAGCAGTTGATTATTCCTATTTTGTATACTTTATGGATTGTATACTATATTCTATTTATTTCTTTTTTTATATTTTGCCATGGGATGAATGCACTAGCCAGAGAGAGGTAGGGGAAGGAAATGTGAGAAATTACCTTCCAAGGGGGAAACGCCATGCTGCTGTCCCTTCTCCTCCATTCTTCTCTTGGAATTTTGGGCACTCACGCACATGCACCTGATGTGTTTCTCAAGCTGCTGGGTCCAGTACTCAAATCGCAAAGTCAGCCATGTGGGATTCTCTGCCTGAACCACTACGTCACATGCTGGCCCATCCATCTACTGTATTCTCACAAAAAAAAGCAAGCTGGAGGAAAGAAAATATTAAGAAAATCATAAGGAAGAGAAAATATATTTATTGTACTGTATATTTCCATCATATTTATTGAATAACATCATCTTATAAGTGAACCCATACAAAACTCACAAGTCTAGTAACTAGGAAGTTTAAAAGTATCATAAAATTGCGAAAGGAAGAATTTTAAGCATAACAGAGTGTGGTCTGCCTGTCTCATTTGCTTTCTCTCTATATATACAGCAGATCTTAATTATGGGACTTAGATGACCATATCAAACCCGAAAGTCCCACCCTGGGACACGTGAAGGTATTAAATATTCCTTTAACACCTTTACAGGACAGTCAAGTCTAAACATATGAATTTCTGGAGGATTCCTAATCCCCACCCACAGACCGAATTCCACAGTGTGAACTTTTGGAGACAAACTATTAGCAAAACCATAGCAATATGTTTTCACTTTGTCCAGGGAGTAGAAGGTTCCAGGTTTTCTTTCTTCATTCCTACTCACGCTATCTATTTGAGAAATTGGGGAAGTTGAGAAGTTGAGAAGTTCACTGCTTCCTGAACCTGAGAATATGCTGCCCGAGGCTCATCAAACAGGTGTTCCAGTTAGCGTTCAAAGTGATGCGTAGCCCCTTCTCCCTCAAATCCACTTTGGAGTCTCAAGTGGCATTTCCCTAGCATGTGGGAGTCTTTTCAGTTTTTTATATTTTAGTTTTTAATAACAAAATGACAGCATTTTCTCAGTTATAAGGAACTGCACCAACTGGTTTATATTCATTATCTTATTTAGTTCTGCCAACAATTCTGAGGTAGTTTCCATCACTAGTCCCATTTTATAGATAAGGAACTCGATAAGGTGAGGTAATAGTTTGCTCATGCCATGCGGGTGGAAGAGCAGAGATTCAAATATTGGGTCTGGTTACTCCCAAACTTATGCTTTAAAAAACAAAAAAAAAGTTGCTGGAAGGCATGTGCCCTCACTGGAGAGAGATGAAGAAAAAAAGAAGGAAAGTGAGAAAAATCTCTTCTCCACTTTCTTCCTGGGATTTTGTGCACACATGCAAATAGGCCAAATGTGTTTTTCAAGTCACTGGCTCTTAGACTTGAACTGTGCCGTTGGCAGTGTGAGATCTAGCCTCTTCAAACACCATGCCACTGGCTAGCCCAATTTATACTTTTTAACTACTTTGGTATTTCTGCTCCGTGTAATGTTTTTCTCTGCCTGGCATTCTTCCTTCTCCTCCTTAATTCATTTTACTCCTATTTATCTTTCTAATACAGCCCAAATGCCACACCCTTCGAAAAGACTTTGTTTTGCTGATAATCCTAACACTCCCAAATATCCCCCCAAAAGTCTAGAAGGGATTAGATTTTGGTGCTTACATCTGTTTTTTTTTTTTTTGTGTGTGTGTGTGTGTGTGTGTTTTTTTGTTTTTTTTTTTTTTTTTTTTTTTTTTTTAAAAAAAAAGAACACACAATTTGTTTGAGAGGGTAAATCTAAAAATGCAGACAATTCGGGTGTAAGGCAACCATAATGGAGTCCCCAAATGGAAATAGCCTCTTGAAATCTTGAACTCACACGCACACATGCCCGGTGTGAGTTTAAGCCACTGGCCGTGGACCTGGGCCTCGAAGTGCGGTGGACTACATGGGAGTCTAGTGACATAACCATTACGCCAACTGCTGTCTTTACTGTTAATGTTTATCGTCTTTACTAGATGTAATCTTCCTTTGGTCTTGGGTCATATAGATTGTCATCTAGTGCTTGGCATGCTGCCTGAATGTAATAAATGTTCAGTGAATGCTTGAATGAATGTATGAGCGAATGACATAGTGTTATGTCTTAGGGCTTGACCTGTTAAGTATTTGAATTAATGACTTGCGTAAGGACATAGAGACAGCCTATGAAATTTTCTTATGTTGTGAATCTGAGAGAACTATTGTCTAATTTTATGTCATGTTAGGATAACGAGCCACATATAACACGAGGAAATCTGAGAAAAATACACAATCCTGCATTTGAATTACAAAAGTCAGTAGTGTAAGTGTAAGATGGAAGAAATTTGGTTTTGACAATAGCGTTATATGGTAACGATTAGGAATTTTTGACTCCAGGTGGGTTAGTAAGATGATTTGAGTGTCAGAAAAATATATATAGCCCAATAAAAATAGGATGAACACTACTTAGAATGTCAAGCTTTGATTGAAAAAAAAAAAATGGTGCAAACACATCAAAGTATATAGGAACCAATTTGAAGAAACTCCCAATGACCAAACCTGGGACAATTTGAATCACAGAATAAACAATTGTAATAATAGATTATAAATAAATGGCTATCCAAGGGTTCATACTTAATTGAATAAATAAATAAATGGAGAAGAGTGGAAATTTTTCCTTACAGTAGTATTGCAACTAATATAAAAGAAATGCAGAAAATAGAAAAATCACCATTTGTATATAAAGTAAAATACAGGGAAGAAAAATCCCCAAGAAAAGAATGTCAATGCATAATACAAGGACAGGGAAATGTTACAAATCTTAGAATTCTTTTCTCATTTACTTTCATTCTTGAGGTGCTCTTTATTCATTTTGAGATTATATGACATCTTCTAGTTTTGTACTATTTCACTTTCTAGAATAAACAAAACTAGGATAGAGAAAGTTGGAAAGGCAAAAAGGTATAGAAGGAAGAACAGTGTTATAGTCAGAAATCTGTCTTAATCATCCACTCTCAGGCAAGTTAGGCGTTCTTTCTGATTTTTGGTTTTTCTTTTTATATTTTCTGTACTTTTTTATTGACACAGAATAATTTGAGAAGTTTATAGGGTACAATTTTTTATTTTTGATACATGAATGTGTGTGTAATAATGAGGGTAATTTACACATCCATCACCTCACATATTTATCATTACTTTGTATTGGAATCATTTGACATCATCTCTAACTGCCTTAAAGTGTGAGTTATACTATTGCTAACTGTAGTAGAATTACTGTGCTGTAGAAACGTACAGTTCATCCCTCCTCTGTACCTGTACTTTTGTATCTGTTAACTAGTATCTCTCTACGTCACCTCACTCATGTATACATACTCTTCTTTGCCTCTAGTAACCACTATTTTACTCTGTACTTCTATGAAATCATATTTTATAGCATCCACAAATGAGTAAAAATATGTCATAGTTGTCTTTATGTGTCTGGTTTATTTCACTTATTAATAACATAATGTTCTTCAGGCTCATTTATGTTGCCTTGAATAACAGGATTTTATCCTTTTGTAGTGGATTAATAGAATTTCCTTGTGTGCATACACCACATTTTCTTTATTCACTTTTTGATAGACATTTGATTTATACCTTAGCTATTGTGAATAGAACTATAATATACATGGAGTGCAGATATCTTCACAACAGTAATGATTTCCTTTCTTTGAATGTATTCCTGATAGTGGAATTAATGGGTCATGACCAAGGTAGTTCTGTTTTTAGTTTTGTTAAGGAAACTTCATATTTTTTTAAAAAAGAATTATTTAACTTTATTTCTTTATTTTAATTTGATCAGAGAGGGACAGAATGAGAAAGAGAGAGACAGAAAGAGAGAGAGAAAGTGAGAAAGTAAGCTGCCAGGTCCAGGACTTGAACCACAATTGGCCATGTGGGAGTACAACGCCCTAACCACCATGCCACCTGCTGGCCCCCATACTGTTTTTGATAATGGCTGCTAAGTTACTTACAAACAGCGTTAAAGAATTCCTCATTTTTCACATCCTTGCCAATATTTATTATTATTATTATTATTTTTGTAATAGTGATTATTCTAACTGAAGTGAGATGATATCTCTCTGTGGTTTTGATTTGTATTTTCCAAATGACTACTTGGGCATTTTTTAAGATAATTTTCATTTGTATGTTGTGTTTTGAGAACTGCCTATTCAGTTCAATTGCCCACTTTTTGGCCTTTTTTTTTTCTGTTAAATTCTTAGAGTT